CATACAACACTAGCATCAGTGTTGTCCCAGGAGTCATCACAGACTGTACCCCACCTTCCATTATGACACAGTTCTACTCTTCCTTCATTAGAGTTTGATCCATTAACAAGACGCACAGTACCAGGAGTACAAACTAAAGTAATGAACCCATTACTTAACAATACAATTTGATTATGAAATTAACCATGACAAGTTACTCCAGCATCCTTAGAGTGTCCACAGTTGTGGGCGGTTGAATGTGTGCAATTTGTCAATAACTGCTCAGTTCCTAAGCATTGAACATTATCCAGGTGGATAACAGCACCCTGACTAAAGTAGGCAAATGATAAAGGGCTTCCACCTGTGATAATCACTATAGCTGCCAAAACTATGAGAAATCAACACACTTGTTCTCCAGCCTAGTTGTCTACACACTACTGCTGCATCAGTGGAGTCCCAGTTATTATCACAGACAGTGCCCCACAATCCATTATTACACACTTCCACTCTTCCTTCCCAATCATGTGAACCACCAATAAGTTGAATAGATCCAGCGGTACACACTGTAAAAAATGCAAGTTTTCTGTATACATGTATAGCTGGAAATATTGGTTGGAAAATGCATTGGTGAATTAATTGGTTAATTGTTGAAGTGAATATCTGCCAATACATTTACTAAGTCTGTCATTTTCTTTAATGTTGAGAATGCTCAATGACAGACAAAATTCACCAACTGCAAATTTTATCAAAATTACCAGCCAGACTTAACTCCTGCCAATATTTCCAGCTGCACAATGCATCATACATTACTGAACAATTGCATAGTTCATCCTATTATATCTAATGTGGACCTACATCTAATTCTCACTCTTATATATATCCCAATGAGTAGAAATGTAAATACCAAAATTAAGATAATGATGAGTGCAATACATATTTATATTTAATTGCATTCTTCATCACAGTGATCATATATAACAACCATTGAAACAAACAGAAAGAAACAAAGAAGAACATGAACTAACATGGCCTTGCAAATATAAATATAATAAATTAATGTAATGCAAAATTATGGTGAAAAGTGCTGTATATAACTATAAAATTTGGCAAATAAAATTTTGGTGACTTTAGCAAATTAGACTCTATTTTTTGACAATTAAGGCACTGTTGCAGCATGAATATAGTTGAAATTTTAATCTCTGAACCTTTTTTGTAAGAGTCAATTTGCGAAATTTGACATCCCAAATTTTCTAGCTTTTACTTTATGGGTTATGCAATCAAATTAAAGCAACAGCTATGCTTACCTTTTAGTACCAGCAAAAGGAGAGCAATGCATTGGTATGTATACTTTTACAACATAACTATCAATGCAAAAGTTGTAGCAAAAAGTTGAGAGCTCAGGTACAGACTTTAGTGGTTTTGTGAAACATCAGCAAATAAATGTGTTGCGAGTACTAATATGAATGCTTCTATGATGATAGCATGAGGAACTTAATTTGTGTCTAATAGAGCTTTACTGCAACATAAATGTAAAATCATGAAGTAACTGCATGGAAATTTCACCAAAACAATAATTTGATCCGAGCTATAGGTTAGCTTCCCATAAAATTTAAAAAAATTAATCTTATGTATTGCTTTGTTACATCATAGCTTCAGTGTTACATAATGATAATATATGAACAGGACAGGGTTTCCAAAAGGATTTCAGCATATAATGCTCATGCAGCTTCTTGTCAGTGGATTAGTCAAGTTAATTAAATGTACAAATCTACAGGGTATTTCAACAAGAAACCACAACTATAAAAATCTCCATTTTATAATTTTTATAATACATATACTTGTTATTATGTTGTGTAGATAATTTAAGCTAATTGCAATAAGTTGGATTTTTTAATGAATTTTAAAAGTTGCTCAAAAGGCCATGTACTATAGTGCTTCTCAGCTCATGAAGCTGCTGTTTAGCTCACTCAGCATGCTTTTTTTGGGAAGCCCTGCAAGTGTCATAATATGCCATGCAGTAGCATGTGCAGCCACTGCAGCTTGTGTTTAATAGCCAGGGAGCAAGGGGAAAAATGTCCCGCCAGTAAATCAAAATTAAAAATAATGAAATGTTAAGCTACTTTTGGAAAGAAAAGCTGTTCTAGGTATTCAATGTTGCCTATGATCAGTCAAGAAGTGCATTATCTTAAAAAATAGGTGTGGTCGTGCCCCCAAAAGGGCATGGTTTTGCGGCAGAATTTCACCGCGCTTCATGTACCGCATAGCCTCCCCTCTTTTCAAAAATTCTGGCTACGCCACTGATAGCCCTTAGTGCCAAATACATCTACTTAAATACATTGAGTTAATCTGATCTGGTCCTATTATAACTTTCATTTTAATACAAAAGGCTTGTACAGTGGAGATTAGGCCAATGTAACTGACCTCACTAAATAGTACAGTCACAACAGTCACTAATTTACATGCTTTCCTACTCCTACTTTAATCTAGCAAATTGCTTCTACTGCTATCTATCCTATATTTATCATGCACCAAAACTGAGTATTGCTTTTCTTATAATTATTGCTGCATATAAAAAGCATGCAACCTAGCTTAACACCATTATTCCAACAAAAATACAGCTGAATCTTGAGTTTGCATACACTAATGAATCATAACATGATGTGCTAAAGGCATGAAGTGAAGTATGTATAGTTGTATAAAATTTTGAGGGAATTTAATTTGAACAATAGAAGAATTCTAAACAGTAGCAGAATAACAAGAGATAAGAACAGAATCATTAATACATTATTAATTTATGAATGAAATACTTACAGACACATCTGACTCCTGCATCTTCAGAATGGCCACAGTTCTGATATATAGTGTGTGTACAGTTAGTAAGGTAAGATTCACCTCCATTACAATCAACATCATCCATCACAATTGATCCAGTTCCTTGTCCAAAGTAGGCCCTATTAAAGGCAGCACCTACTTTGGGACAGTCACAGTGCAACCTAAAAACCTTTCCTTACCTGAATCATATCCTAACTGTCTACATACAACACTAGCATCAGTGTTGTCCCAGTAGTCATCACAGACTGTACCCCACTTTCCATTATGACATAGTTCTACTCTTCCTTCAGTTGAGTTTGCTCCATTAACAAGACGCACAGTACCAGGAGTACAAACTAAAGTAATAAACCCATTACTTAACAATACAGTTTCATTATGAAGCTAACCATGACAAGCTACTCCAGCATCCTTAGAGTGTCCACAGTTGTGGGTGGTTGAATGTGTACAGTTTGTCAATAACTGCTCAGTCCTAAGCACTGAACA